AGCCACGCGGACTTGAAATTGCCTGTCGGTCAAAAACTGTGATATAAAAAGAGGTAAACGACCCCTCAAACCAAAATCATGTAAATCCTTTAAAATGACATGCTTCCAAGTGGTATCATATGCTTTCTCAAGGTCAAAAAATATCGATACTGCATGTTGTTTATTTACTATCGCACTTTTCACAAAGGATTCCAAACGTACCAAATGATCAATGGTACTACGATTTTTCCTCTTTCATTGAATATCTGTGATAAGGTTATTGGTTTCAAGATACGAAATTAATCTGTTGTTTACCATTCGTTCCATGGTTTTTCAGACACAACTCGTCAAAGAGATTGGTCTGTAATTAGACGGATTAGTATGATCCCGGCCAGGTTTGGGAATAGGGACTACAATGGCATTACGCCAGGAAGTTGGGAAATTCCCTGAAGTCCATATTGAATCAAATAGATGTAGAAGAGTTTCCAAACACGACTCAGGTAAATGCTTCAAGAGCTAATAGTGTATATTATCAGCCCCTGATGCTGTATCATGAGCTTGCTCGAGGGCGGTATGGAGCTCATGTAACGAAAATAGTTCGTTATAGTCTTCATCATTGTCTGAGTTGAAATTAACTCTGTTCTTTTCCTGATGTTTCTGGCATTTCTGAAACTCAGGTACATAATTTGATGAAGATGAATGCTTGGCGAGAGTTTCGCCTAGCTTATTGGCAATTTCGGCCTTATTCCTCAATAAATTGTCACCATCCTTCAGATGGTGGACACTGCATTTGGACCCTTTACCTTTAATCTTCTTCACCATATTCAATACCTTAGAAATAGGTGTGCGTGAGTTAATTTTGGAAACATACTGTTGCCATGACTGTCGTTAATTTTGTTTAAATGTACGACGACCCTTGGCGTTTAAATTGTTTATCTGATTTAAGTTATGGACTGTTGGAAGTCAACGGAAATATTTTTCTGCCTTCTTCCTAGCCTTTCTAGATTGTTTGCAGTCAATATTACACCATGGCTTACGGATGTGTGGAACCATGGAGGACTTTGGAATACAATCATCAGCAATCATATTTAATTCATCAGAAAACACCTGAATAGGATCAGACACATTTTGAAAGAATTCGGGTCTTAATCTGTTATTGCATAAGGTCTCAAATAAAGACCAATCTGCCTTGTTAAAGTTCCACCTTGACGATGGGGCGGCATCACTTTGGGTTTATGGATGATAGAATAGTGGGAAAATGGTCACTTCCACAGAGGTCATCGTGGACTGACCATTCAAATTCATTGTATAAAGTTGGATCCGCAACAGATAAATCCAGAGAAGAGTATGAACCAGTTGCAGGATGAAGATATGTGCTAGAACTATCATTAAAAATACATAACTCGGTATTTGTGAAGAAATCTTCGAGAATCTTTCCTTTTGTGTTGGTATTACTACTGCCCCAAAGTGGGTTATGACCATTAAAATCTCCCATGTTAATGCAAGGTTTGGGGAGTTGGTCATAGAGCATCTGAAAAGTCAGACTGCTGCAGAGACGATGATGGCGGAATGTACAGTGAACACAAGGTGACAACAATATGCAGAGTAACACCAACCGCGACTGTCTGAAGAGGGGTATTGAGAGGAACAACGCTGTGGATAGTTCCATGATTAACTAAAATAGAAGATCCTCCAGTTGCCTGTTGGAATCATATTGCCTTAAATCAAAATTATCTGTGGATTTGAGGTAGGTTTCCTGCAAACATAATGCTGATGGTTTAAAGTCTTGAATTAAAAGTTGCAAATCATTAACATTGTTTCTTAATCCTCTACAGTTCCACTGAAGAATATTAAAAGAACAGCTCATGGAGGCTTAACTGGAGATCGGGATCTTGGGGTAGATCCTCTCCGTTGAGTGGACGGAGATGTATTTACTTCCATGTCCAAAGATTCAAAGCTGTTATGAACCTCTATGAAGGATGTTAATGGGGAAGACACTCAACATGTTTGAGGGATCTTAATTCTTTCTTTTTTAATTGTTTTCTTTCCTTACTGGTTAGTTTGACAGTCTCAATTTCAGTTTCTGGTTCAGTCGAAGTCTGAGGTTCTCAAGAGATTGAGGATGGAGTAATATGAGTTTGTGTAGCCAGTAATTTAGTTGCTTCAAAAAAAGGAAATATTATTGGTATGCTTTAGTTTAAGTATCTGTGATTGCTTCTGGTAGAAAGGGCAATATTTTGAGGAAGAAAAGTGCTCAGCGTTGCAGTTAGCACATCTAATCTCATCTGTACAGGTAAAACTGTCATGATCTTTGCTGCAACGGGAGCATACTGGAGGGATCCGTTTCTGAGACGAGTGGCGTTCTTGACGTCTCCACAAATTCCTTCAACAGCTTTCGACACAAGAAAAGGGTTTTTCTTGAGAGGTGAGCCATCGACTCCATCAACCACTAGAAAACGTTGCCATGAGTCAACATTATCTTGTGATGTTCTTTTATCATCAGAAGAAAAGGAATCAGTGTCTAAATGCTTTCTTTTATTGTTTGATCGAGAACCAGTATATTGTAGTGTTGCCATGGTAATAGGAAATATTCAATTCCCTGCTCCCCACCCACCATGGAGTGTCAACAAGGACGGTGGCTAAGTGGAAAGCGACTTTAAACACCAGGGTTACAGGGGTGCTATACTCCAGCAAAAGAGACACAGGTAGCTACAATAGTCAAACAGAGTAAAAGTAAGGCTGGTTCCGCCCTAGACATTTACCTGAAGACCAATAGAACCCAGAGGTCAATTATGCCAGATTGGCCCATGAGCCACCGCCTTCTGGCATAGGACTCTAGGCAATACAATGTCATGAATAATTTGAATTTAGAATAGCCAAGATCAAAATAATAAATCAAATATGTGCAATAATATTCACTATGCACAGGGCCTGGCGTGACTAGCCGATTGCTTGAACCGGGCCTATTCAACCACCCGTCTAGGTGAAGTAAGGGGCGAAGTGGTGTGTTGGGCAACAGGAACACCTGGCCCTGGTTCCAGTGCCCTCAACCACCCGACTCCCGTCCTCCACCGACACAGGGGCGCAACCCACGGCTAACAGGTTGCGCAATTCGGTCTTACGACCAGCAATGGGGTGCTGTTGACCAAATATACCCCCGGGTCCACAACGTGGGGTTGAAGAGCGCTTAGCGTTACCCAGCACCCACCACGAGGAGGTGGCTCTTCACGGGTGCCACACTGGTATGATGACCTCAAAAGAAGGTTGTAATGGAAACATGTTAAATTGTCGAAACATTCGCTGGTCAGCAAAACATTACCATTTTTAGTCCAAGGTTCAAAAGAGTTATATTTTAAAAACATATATACTCATTACATTTCTATTTCAAAACAGAAAATGTTATAGAACCAAATTCAAAAGCAAGCAGTTTGTTATTCTCTTTACAAAGTTACAATTTATGATACAGGTCAGCTTCCCTCAGGTAGTTAACAAACAGATACCCGCTCACGCGGGAAAACAGATTTTTCAGATTTCTCGCATCATAATGTGAATCCCTTGCAGTGGAGAAGTCCACACAGTCAAGTAGAACATGCTTGACGGTGAACACTTTATCGCAAGAGACACACATGGGAGGACCATCCCCATCCGTTTTCAGTAGATAGTCATGAGTAAAGCGGATGTGGCCAATACGACATCGTCGTAAAATTACCTCATCACGTCTTGACTGACAACCCAAGTAGGTATAACCAATTGTTGGCTTCAATTCATGAAGTTTATTTCTTCCAACTTCGGGTTGAAGTCACTGTACGGGATCAGCAGTGGAGATGAGGGCTTGTCAAGAGCTGCTTTAGCTTCAGCATTGGCCTTTGTGTTACCTGCTATGCCGACGTGACCCGGCAACCAGCAGAGGACGATGTCACATTGGCTTGTAGAAAGATCGTTGTAAAGTTCTAAAATGTCCAGGAGGTGAGGTGAAATTGGGTTTTACATCGTGCTTGAGAATATTTCGCTCATATGACGACGTGCATGCGTGTGTATGTGTATATGTGGCTGCTTGTACTAGCCCAGACTGAAGCTGGTTTTATAGTGCTAGCCCACTGAGATACCATGCCGCAGTGAAGAATGAATACCCCACTCAGACACATTATACTGACTTTGGGCCGACCAGTTCTTGTTGTACCTTGTTGTCCTTGTTTCATATAAAGGCCAGTTAGCCTTTTTAAAATTCCATCTTGATGATGAAGGACCATCAGATGGGGTTACACGTTTCAGTATAGTAGGAAAATGGTCACTCCCACAAAGGTCATCGTGGACTGACCATTCAAATTCATTTAGTAATCTTGAGTCAGTTATTGACAAATCAATGGCTGAATATGTTCCTGTACCAGGCTGTAAATATGTATCTGTGCCATCATTGTATACACATAAATTATTATTTGAAATAAAATCCTCCAGAATTGTACCTTTAGTGTTTGTGGTCGCACTCCCCTAGAGTGGGTTGTGGCCATTCAGATCGCCCATGAGTACACATGGTTTGGGGAGTTCATCATAGAGTGTTTGAAGATTTCATCATAGAGTGTTCGAAGATGAGCCTGCATAAGAGTTGATGAGAGAATTGCTGCATGAAGGCCCCGGGGTTGAATGTCTGCGACGACTGTAGTGATGTCGCATCTGAGAGGGTAGCGATATGGTCCAGGGAACGCTGTGCCTCACGGGTCTCTGCTGTCAGTGTTGAAGGTAACTCGGACTGCGTAGAGAAGGATGCTGACGTTACCGTTGCTGAGGCCTGCGTCTTCTTCTTATGCAGTATCTCTGGGATGAGGATCGGCGGTTCATCATATAAGCCTCTTTCTTCCATCGGGACGATCTCAGCAGAAAAAGTCCTCGTAGTCTGTGAAGAACTCCCAGTAGATCTCGTTGAAGCCTTAGGGGTGTAAGGCTTCTTCTGCGACGAAGATGGCCTCTTCTTCTTCGTATGGGTTGAGGAGTTGTCGGACGTAGAAGATCTTTTCTTCGACGTAATGGCGGACCTCATCCCCGCCCATCTTCTGAAGACGCCTCCGGCAGGTCACTGGATGGAAGTATGTCGTCTGACAACGACAGACAGCTCTTTAGGGACTCAGCCGGTTTAGCCATGACTTGCAACAGCCGCCTGGATTTATCCTTAGCACGTCTAAGTACAGAGAAATAATAATTATTAAATTCAATTTTTGTTAATTGCTGACATAATTTACAGCGAGAGCTGGAAGTACATATTGTTGTGCAACTGGGGCACAATAAATGCGGGTCTGCAGCAGAGAACCTAAACCTACAACGAAAACAGGCTTTCATGAAATGTAAACAAACTGAACAATCACGTGAAACCGTGAATAAACAGTCAAATTTGCTAATAAATTTCAAACCATATTGTAGAAGGATACTCCCTGAAACCTTATAAAGGTAACTTATAGGGTAATAACTAAGTTAACAAAGGATATAGTGCCGTGTTGGAGACACAGGTGCTCTCCCAACCGTCCACTAGGGCGAAGAAGGAGAGAGTGAAGAGTGGGAAGACGGGTGGCGCCGTTTTCCCGCCAAAACGGAGAGGGAGACAACTCGTGGCGAGTAGTGATTTTACGTCTGCTTGTTTGAAGGGAGCTTCAAAAAGGAGATACAAGTGTTCCACTAACGTGGGAAGAGGGAGACAAGCAATAATACATGAGTCAGGATAAGGAAAAATTATGAACATGTAGTGTCATCCGTTTCGTTTTCTCATATAAATTTTTGGAACAATCGGTTTGGTTGAAAATAAGTTCCGATAATTTAGCCTACAGGAAGATGATACATACCAGATATTTATAATACATGTATTACTTATATGTGACATTCAGCGTCATGTTCTACAGATTAAATTAACTTTGTTGTTGTCATAATTATAGGAAATCATGGAATGTCAAAGTGTAAAGAATATAACACATTATGACAGCATATACTTCATTCAGATCTCCTGTAGTCAAACTGATTATGGTAATATGAATTATTTTCACACATATCATAATACGTTCTAATGCAAATTCTCAATTATTAGTTGCACAAATTCCATGTATCGAAATATTTCATTTCAGACTTGAATCATATGACCGAAACGATGATTTTGTCGGGCCGTCTGTCTCAATTCCATGTCCAGTAGACACAATATGGCCACTGTCAGGATATTTACAGCTGACACCTTCCCATCGTGGACTGCTGCCTCCAATTTCTAAAGAAACGATTGAAGGCTATTTCATCTACCGCCTGGCAGGAGACCTGCAATCCACACAAGATGTCAAGGCCATACAAAAAGGTACACTGATGTTTGAAGGGGACAGGGTGCTGGCATGCAGTGTTCACATGTCATCTACTGATGTTTACTTCAGTGGCATCGTCAGTGCATCAATGAAATACAAGGTATAATATAAAATCCAGAAATTCAAAACAAATGCGTTTAAGCATTACAAGAAATGATAAATTGAAAGACAACATTGAATTTAATTTGTTTAAAATTTAATGCGTGCCTACAATCCTATGGTTGGCTGGGTAGCTCAGTGATTAAGGTGTTAAATATGCTGAAGGCCTGGTTCTCTAGTGCACAAATTCTGGTGTCCCTTATTATGTTATAGCTAAGAGAAGTGTGAAATTATATTCACTCACTCTATCCTAGGTCACATACAACTACAGACTAAAGGTGGAAAAGACCGGGGAGCCAGTCAATTCTCACTGTGAGTGTCCAGCAGGGAAGGGTCCGCATTCCACCTGCAAACACATTGCTGCAGTGCTCTTAATGTTAGAGCATTTCATCTCTACTGGCAGTGTGCAAGTTGGGAAGAGCTCAACAGACAATTTGCAGTTGTTCCACAAACCAAAAAAACCTTACAAAGGTAAGTCTGTGTTAAACACTAGACCCAAAGGAAATGTGACACCAATGTCTCTGTTACCTGATGTATGAATTGATATGAAAAGAAACAATATTTTAGGAAACAATTGTGCTGGATATTGGACTGGATAGAGCAGCTCTGAGATTTTAAAAGTTTGTATTTTAGTGTACTGAGCAAATTCTAGTACTTTTTGGGTTGAGTCCCATCCGGGTGTAATCCCAAATATAACATATGTTACATTTGACCACTTTCTAAAATGGCATTGTGTATTTTCATGTACTGAGCAAGTTTGAATACAATCAGTATGGCCATTTATGATCATTTTTCATTCAGGATCACCAGTAACAGCTCAATCAATACCATCAAAAAGAAAATGGTCTCACCACATGCTGGAAGATCCTAGACCACAGAAATACAGGCAGATGAGTGGATACAATGACCGTGTACGCAACATGATGGTCAACTACTGTGCCTCAGCATCTCATGATATTGCCTTCAAATATCTGCACCCAAAGGCTGATTTACATACAGCGGCTGATGATCATGACTATCTGAAAAAGCCACTTACGGAGTACATGGTTGACAGTGCACTGAAGGTACACAATACTTCAAATACTGGTTTGATAATAATAAGTAGATATTTACCTATATGTAAATATATTTAACATCTGGAGAGTCATTCATATTTGTTATCTCTGGAGTACACACTTGAAACCAAAGTTTGTAAGGAAAACCATACACAACATCTCATAGTTTCATGTTGTGTATTAATGAGTCAATTGTAAAATGCATTGGAAGGGATTAATCATGCTAATCAACATAATTAAGTAGATTGATTCCATCGTTGTGAAAAAGGAATTTTGATTTACTCTACTTCTCAGAAAACCGATATTTAATAAAGGAAAATATTTCAAGCATCATAGTTTTAAACAGCTCTTTAATGTCTCTATATTCGTGTTTTCCAGGTTACTGAAGAATCTGCAAGAGATGTTGAGGCAGCAACACGGGACCAGAGTAAGAGCCCAGTGTGGCACAGGGAAAGAAAGTGGCGCATCACAGCCTCAAGGTTTGGTGAAGTGACCAAAATGACCAACAGAAGAAATAAAGAGAAGTTATGTAAATCAATTGTGTCAACAAAAATATTATCATGTAAGCCTGCCATTCATGGAAAGCAATATGAGAAAAAAGCTATTTCTACATTTGAGTCAGTGTACAACATCAAAACCAAAAAAGCAGGTCTGTTTGTTTCTTCTTCGGAACCCTTTCTGGGCGCTACACCAGATGCCATTATTGATGAGTACAGCTTGGTGGAGGTGAAATGCCCATATACAGGAAGGAATGATTACATCAAACCTGGTAAAAACTTTCCATACCTTCATTATGATGTAAACAATCGATTTTTTTTAAATCAAAGTAGTCACTACTACTGTCAGGTTCAGGGACAAATGTACATAGCAAAGCGTCAGTTTTGCTATTTTGTTGTTTACACATTTTGTGACATGTTTGTAGAAAAGATCAGTATTGATAAGGATTTCTGTCAATGTCAATACTCATTGGTTCCCAAACTTGAACTGTTCTATACCAAATATCTAAGACCATACATTGCTTCTACATTGTAAATAATAAGATGGCCAGTTAGTACTATTAGTCAGTTTGGGTCAGTCATGAGCTTGTGTGTGCTCCAATGGTAATAACCTTATTGGTATGTTGAATTGCACTTTGGTATGTATCAAACTTGTGGATTAACATTATTAAGCCCATTATCCATTTCTTCCCGAAATGAATTATTTGAAAATAATTCAGATTCTGAAAATAATATGTCAAGATGTATTAGAAATATTTACTGACCCTTTTTGATGTCAATATTGTTCTTTCTTTGAGTCATTAGACTTCTTATGTGAAATCAGCTTCTTAAGAATCGACAGAGGAAGAAGCATATAAACAGGTTTTAACTAATACTTACCTTGGAATATCACTTACTAGATCTTTAGAGCTGAAAGAAATATCTAGAATCTGCATATGAGTAAGTGTTGATGCCTATCCTGTACTGTTTACTATATGCAGGGATGAGCATGCAGTTTTGAGAAAAACTCTGAAAAATAGTCGGGGGCCAAATTATACGGATTAAGACGATTCCCACATGGGTGCAATGTGTGAGACCCATTTCTGGTGTCCCCCGCTGTGATATTGCTGTAATATTGCTAAAAGCGGTGTAAAAAGAAACTCATTCAATCACACTAACATTATGACAATGCTAGAGGGATCTGGCAAGTAGTAGGTGTTATGGATAATACAAATGTAATGAAAAGGTCATCTCTATGCTGATGAATGCATTATTGTGGTTCAGTCGCCTACCCCAAATGTATTGTGCTTGGGTATGTAACAGATTACCACTGTCAATAAACAATGTATACCCATTCTCAGTTCAACAACAATTTATGTCACAGTATCTAATATATGTTACAGTGAAAAAGATCAAATCTTGCTGTCTCAATAAGAGCATGTTATTACATTAATAGATATCTATAAAGGCATAGATGTCTAACAATATCTCTACACACTGTAAGTAACCTTACACTTGTGTGTAACTCTGTCTTTACTTAAGAAAAAAGATTATTCCAGAGAGGTTTTCATGTCAACCAAATAGTATTTTGTCTGGCATGTCACATTCAATACAAAATATTGCCATGTACACACATCATGCAATTTTACTTGGAAGGAACATGCATACCTTATCACTGTTATCAGTGAGTCAAACTATTAGCCTGTAACCTTGTTACCATGAATAAACTAGAGTTGACTGAATAGATCGTTAATCTGAAATATTGTAATGATTATCGATATGAAAATTGTGTCATTGACAAAAGCATACATAAACTGTTATACTTAATTTACTTTGACAGTGTACAGTTGAATATTAAGAAGATCTAATACTTAGCTGTGTGTACATAGTGAAGCAAGTCTTTATATTATTTGGTGAAGCTTCTCAATAGTTATTCCTATGGAATTCTCACTAAGAATGCCTTTATACCTGACTGACATAAGTCAAGATGATTGTTGAAAACTCACTGCTTTCTGATATTTGATTAATTGATGTTTGAGAAGGTTATGGCCGAAAGATATGACTTTCCTGGTTATAATGCTGTGCAAATAGTGAAGAATACCAATGCATTACCTATCCAGAAACCTGTACATATAGTCATAATATAGAATTCACTATGGGAAAACTGTTCTGTTTGCAGATGGATGATATCAAATGGTTTACTGAAATCATTAAGTTTACTTTTGAAAAAAGTTGGTGTAATAACGAAGTAATTTTCAACAGTGTGAATCATATCACAGTGGTGATTTTCATAGAACAAAATTACAGTAAAGGAGCCCCAGTGAGTTGGGAGATGCAATGACAAATAACATCTGCATTGGGTCTACACATGTCAGGTCATTATCAGCTGAACATAACATTTTATCAATACATGAAATTCTGTAAGATATTGTGAAGAAGAGATTCATGCAAATTCATTAACAATGCAGTTTCTAAAATTTGAAATAGCAAAACAAACATAAACCATCCGTGATCCAAGTACCACTTCACTGGGTGGAAGATGTTTCTTCAAAATTTTGAAAGTCTTACTTAGACCAATTATTCGTTCAACATGGATTCTTTTTGAAGCAATTATTCTGTCCTTCACAACATCCTCTGGTTCTAATTGTGATTTGCCTTTTAATAAAGTTAAACATCTTGGGCTGCAAATGAATCTTGAACCACAATGCCCCTGTCGGCCATAATGCTATCCTGTTTCTCAAACATACCATGTGATGGGTTAGGCAAAGGAGACTGCTTCACTATCTGCCTGTCACTTGCTGACCCCCCATATTATTCACTGATAAATGAAACTGCCCCTCTGGGTGTGCAGCCAATCATGGTTTTTAATGTGTTCTGATGTTTGTAGCTGGACGATGTCATACTCTGAGCATCTACATGCGATGGCTTTTTGATAGGAATCTCTGTTGCATCCAAAATGACTCTGGTGTTTGTGAATTTCTTACCGAAGTCTGTTGGCATGTGATCATCAACTGTTGCTCTTGTTGGCCATATCTGTAGTTCTTTCAGTTGGAAATATAAGAAATTGATCCATGTTATCACGATCTGAGAAACTGTGGATGATGATATGCCAAACATAAAGCTTAATTCAACATCATCTTTGGCCTGTCTTAATTTCATTAATGTAAGAAATAACTGGTCTTTTGGATGCAACATTTCACACTGATAATTCAGTTCAAAAACAGCTGGACCAAGCGAGTGAAAGAAAAACACAAAATGATCATAATCACGGAAACCAGAGTAGTACAAGACAGCTTTGGGATTATTGATACAGGCTTCTATTGAAGAAGATCCTAACAAAGTGCACTGAGCAGACTGGGGGTTACTTTGGCATATTTCTACAGGCTCATCGAAGTTAGCTGTGCTGATCATACCAATATCCTCTCTGCTACCAATTACCACCTCTTCGGATACATCCAATATAGCTTGGTCAGCTTCTTCTTCCCTGACTTGATGTGCTCTCTTTGGTAGAGATGGTAACGTTGACATGCCCGATGTATTGGGGAAGATCGAAGGAACCGCACCTGTCCGGAGACGACTTCATTCACCTGATTTTAACATAAGATACCAAAACATGAAAGGTAACAATTTTATTTGATTTAAAAACACAAATGGCATTGATTATAAACTCTAAACAATAAGTAGGAAGCTATAAATTGTACTTACCGGTAGTATTAACTATAATCTTACTACTTATATCAAAAGGCATTGATACTAAATTAAAATTGATGTAATTGGTGATTTTATGTAGATGTAACACAAATTTATCTGAACATTACTTCTTGACTTTACTAATAATATTAAACCATACAAAACTTAGTTTCCGAGGTTTCCTTGGGGGATCCTTCAGTCGGAAGCTTCAGGCTTGTCATCGTTGTTATTGGTCCTTAAAAAGATCAATAAAACACAAAGCAACAAGAACAAACATTAAACGAACAACCATGCAATAATCATAATGAAATTAATTTGAGAACATGGAATAAATCAACAATGGTTGTAGACACAATCATAGTTCCATTTTCAATATTCATTGTCTAAGAGTGTGTATGCTTTGTTTGTAATTTGGTTTAAAATTGAGAACAGAATCTTGATACCATTTTTCTGAATTTGAAATCACTGAAAACAGATGAAACATGCTTCTATAAACATGCTACTTTGAAATACAGTAATTACGTTCAGATAGAGATCTACACATATTTTTTATCATAATCTACAGATGACAATTATGTTCAAGATATCACATTCAAATATCAGTCCTTTATAATATATTTCTCTTTCATAATTATTCTCAGCTGAACAAACATGTTTACATAAACAATATTCGAAGAAAAGCATATTTATCAACTTTGTTTTTGGTAAAAGACACGACAATAGTTAGAAAATCATGCATAATAAAATAGTGTGTCATTCTTAACAAACAAAACACCGTGTTTTACGTACCTAATAATGTATCCACGTAATCGCCATCGGTAAAGTAGGCCCGACAGACGACATCGATTGTCCCTGGTTTCAATAGATTCTTTGTGGACACATCAACTCTTCTTACGGCAACGCGCCATTTCTGTCGCAGGTCAGGGTCTGAGGGGTACTTGTGTCCCCTAATGTTACTTTTGCAACCCGGAACAGAGCAGTATCTCGGCATGTTCGGGCCACTGTGGACCTAATCACCGATACGAGCCACTTTTAAAGCTGACTTCCGGTTTCCCGCTATAACCTCAAGTACACTCGCGCCACCTAGCGAGAAAATTTGGGCGGTGTCTCCCATTGTTCAATGATTTTTAACAAATAATGCAACACCACCTAATCCGACTCTAGCATCTCTATTCTTAACATGTGTACCATACGTATGTTACCAGTATCAACATTAACCAATTTAGAAATCTTAGCTCTCACAAGCAGCTGTTTTGTATGAAAATCGTGATTTAAATGTTTAATTATAGATTCGAAAACATTAATAACAGAGAATGTTAAAGAGAGTATGTCGCTAACAAATGAAATCATGTGTCCCTTACTTTTAGTCTGTTTATAGCTGTGTCATACCTATAGGTGGCCTGGCTTTGGTCTGGTCGAATCTCTTCTTTCCTAATCAGTGAGCTTTTTCAAAGTGCATCCCCATTTATTTATCTGTAGAATGTTCTCAGTCAACTGTTCCACCTAAAATTCCGCATGTTCTGCCTCTGAATAACGCAAACCAGTTGAAAGCATTTTGTTCTCTTGTTTGGGTAATGGGATTGAGGTTTTGTAGATACCTGAGAGGACTCATGTTCCAAATGAAGTTGATGTTGCTGTTGTTGTTGCAGATCATGTTGATATCCACAGTATGTGTCACTCACATTGTAATCTCGGTGCGTCGCCATTATCCGTTATGATAATCGAGCTGCTGCTGTCTGTCATCGATCGCACACGTAAATCGTCTTTCCTTCATTACTCAATGACAAATAAACTCACCCGAGTCTTCATGGGTAGGTGTTGGTAGAAATAGTTATATCGCCACAGCTAGATTAGATTAGAAAGATCTGATAACAGATTGCTGTATTTTCTCAATACCGCCGTTTGCCAATGTGTCAAACAGTATTAACGGTACGCCCTTTGTCCTTCAACCTGAACACATTATACATGTATTCATTTCCCGAAAGGAAATAACAGCCTGCGGTATATATACCACGACACACTGCATTGATTAGATCATTCAGCATACACCCCATCATGGGTTCCCCGAGTATTTGGAAAGTATTAGGATACGTTCAAATCGTACTGTGTTTACTAGGTATTATTGGAAATGCGATTAGCGTGTATGTTCTTTCCAAGATGAACTCCAAGTCCTTAAGATTGTTGAAGTACCTCAATGTGGTGGATAGTGTACTTTTGGTGATGGTTTGCACTTTGATGCAGATGACTCAGTCTGGACTTACTGGATTTGCTCTTGCTTCAGACATTGTGGGTCTGTGTATTGGGACATTGCCTCTTGTAGTTCAGACGTTTGAAGCATACCTGACTGTCTTGATTGCCACTGTGAGGTGTCTGGCCGTGGCAATGCCTTTCAGATTTGCAACTTGTATGCGGGATTCTGTGCAAAATAGGTTACTCATTGCAAGTGCAGTATTTTCAGTGCTTTTCAACGTGCCATTCATTATCGGGCAGTACTTACGAGGACCTTCATCATACAGTTGGATTTCAGATTTCTGCTTCTACATCCAACAGATATTTTGCCGGTTTCTCCCGATACTCGTTATCGTCAGCTGTAACGTCATCTTAGTTGTTTCAAGATGTAGAATGAAATCATTACAAGGACAGGACAACCAAAGTAGTTCACCTAATGGACGACACAGCATGAGTGCATTTCAGCTGACGTGCCTCGTCCTTGCAATCACTGCAATGTTTATTGTCACACACGGTTCTTTAGGTGTTGTTAACATCTATGTTTGGATTCATCGATCTGTAAGTGGTATGGTTGAACACTTCGGTAAATATTCCAGTTTGATGATCATTACTAACAGTGCTACCAACTTCCTTTTCTACTGTTTGATCGGTAGCGAGTTTAGAACAACCCTGGTATCTCTGTGCAAGAGGAAACCTTGTTCCACAAGAAGAAACAGATCTGTGCCCGTGTCAACAGTGTAACATTTTGACTATTTGTTGCAACCAGTTGATTGACTACTATCACTGTTTGACTACCATTAGAGATATATTAACTACCTAGTGACAACCAGGGGACTGTTTTAGAACAGTTTGCTACAAGGTGCAGTAGGCTACAACTCGGCTGCCAGATGTAGCCAACAATTAGTTATCACGAGAGAACCACAGAGGAAATATTGTTTCTGGTATTGTGTGTGAAGCTGACGATCATCAGAGGAGCATGATTGATACAGTGCGTTCTTGGTCAGAGACATACCTCCTCAGCAAGTCATACTCTGGTGAGTTAATTCGAGTATAGATTTTCTATACCTTTTGAAAATGTATGCTGATTGAAAATGATTTTGCTGAAGAATTTAGTTTAAGGAATGTCTGAATATTGAAACACATGCATTCAATGGCTATAATGTTCTGTAGTATGAGTTCGTTTCACCATAGCTATATTTGCTTAGCGATGATGGTGATTTTACAGGCGTTTAAGGACATAATCCGTAAAGGTGAGTGAGTGAGTATGGGTTTACGCCGTTTTAGCAATATTCCAGCAATATTACGTCGGGGGGACACCAGAAATGGGCTTCACACATTGTACCCATGTGGGGAATCAAACCTAGGTCTTCGGCGTGACGAGCCAACGCTTTAACCATAAGGCCCCGCCCCTAATGCATGAAGGCCATTGCCCATGTTGAAATGTCTGTAGGCGTACTTTACGTAGATACAGTCTGGGGCTTTGAAGGTATGAATGTTGTTTGGAGCGCTTAATAGGAATTTTGTGTTAAGTGTCTGTGTCCAGTCACTGTTAGCTGCACCATTCTGTGTTGGTGCGTGAAGTGTAGGAGTATGAGTTGAGGTGTTTCTGTTTGGTTGCAGTCGGAGGATTTGCGCGTTTTCTGCGGGTGTTGGTTTCTCTATCAATAATTAATTGTTTCATCAGATAACTTATCATAGATGTTCTAATATAGATCTTATTTTATTGTTCTCTATCAACAATTAATTTTTTCATCAAAGAACTTATTTTAGATGTCATATGAAAAACATTGTTCCAATTCTAGGATATGGTGCTGAGATATGGGGTTTTTAAACAAGAGAGAAAGTGTTGAAATTGTTCATCGAAAATTGTGCAAATGTTTACTACAAATTAGTTACACATCTTCTAATGCTGTTGTATATGGGAAATGTGGGAGGGTATCCTTAAGCAGATATGGCAGATATATTACAAACTGGCTAACAGATACCCATAACAATGTTGTTTTATTATCTGTTGAATTCAGGAAACGTAGGCTCGACAAGATTTGTTATTTTATTTTGGCTTTGGTACTGCTTGGATTTCACAAGATGTCGGTGATACAAAAAATATTTCTGTGTATGTTTACTGAATGAATTAACGTTCTATGCATTCTTCCCTAAATATTCCTTTGCTGATTTTCAAATTTCCATAAATCTCTGTTGATCTGTGAAAAATATGTATCATTTAACATAAGTAATAAGTCAGTGCATACGTAATAAGCGTCTGTTCACATTGTTTAGTACAGGATGTAATGCACTAGGTATCAAATATATTAGAAGAGGTATCGCCTCTTGTAACGATGATCTTGTGTTATGTAAACACTGTAAAAGTATTGAGGATGAAATTGTTTATATTTGTAAACGTTATAAGGATATGCGCCGGCGTTACATTCCGGAAACGGTCCATGGATATTCTCTCCCACAGCTATTCATCTCAGACCACATTTTGCATAATCTTAGAACATGTTCATTCTGCTCCTGCTACATTGGTAACATCATAAATAATTTTGTACGATAGGTCGTATGGTCTCTATACAAGAACATGTTTATTCTCCCCACCAACAACGAAGTTCGGGGATATAGAAACGAGTTCCATCCGTCCGTCCATGCGTCCGTTGTCCGGAGTGAAATTGGTAACTTAAAATCACCTATTGTGCCACCTTGTACGATAGGTCGTATGGCCTTTATACAAAGCTAAACCCTTCTTCTTCTTCAATTTATTATCCCTAGATGTGCCGCAACAACATGAAGTTAAGCTGTGACTATGAGGGATGTCATCTTGTCCGGAGCAGATCTTCTAAACTATACATGCTAGCTTCATCAAACTTTGGTACACATATCAAGCATGATCCCTAGAATGTGGGCTTCCATGGCAACAAGTTAGCTTTTTTGTGGTTTCCAACTGAATTTGAAACGTGACTATGAGAATTTCATCTTGTTGAATTTCCATGGAGCAGGCTTCAACTGAATTTGATGATAGGGCTCCTCTTTGGAGCAGATCTCCTTCAACTTTGCTGTATAAAAAGTGACTCCAAAACATTTGACATAATTATACCTAGTAGACATATTCATAAAGAGTATGTTGCCGTTGAGGGGGATATTGATGACTTTGTCTTCTTGTTATTCAGGTAGTCAGTGTACTTGGTAGTTGTTTCTCTTAACAAACAAAAATATGAATTTGCCTTTTCATGCAGATATGAAACTTTTTGCAGCTTGTTTCGACAGATGATTGACAATGATTTTCTCCGGCCTATTTCTATTTATGAGATACGTTAACAAAGACATCCATGCAGGTTCTGGACACCTTTATGTATCATAAGTGAAGTTAACATGCTTTGCCTCGTGACTTTCCTTCATGTTAACAAAGACAATCATACATGTTGAAGAGGAACACTTTTTATGGATATACAACTTCTTTCGTGCAGTGGATGCGACGTTTCGGTGTAGATCCTAACACCGTTATCAAGCAAATGATGCACACCATATGCACAAGGAAAAATATGTACATGGCGGGTATTTGAGTTTATACAGTAGAGGAGGTTGATGTACAGTGTGTAGACATGAGGCTTGTTGTTATAAGAAATGATTGAAGCCAGTGGGCAAGGGTGGGTTATTCTTGATTAGGCTTGATTCGTTAGCCGTCGGGATGTCATAACCTTGATCTCACTTGATTGTCGGGCTGAGGGTTTGATGTTGATTGCCTCTAAGAGTTTTCTTGTCTTGTAATCTGACCGGTTGACTTCTAGGATGCTGATGTTTTGCCAAAGGATGGTATGGTTCGTGTGGTCGGAAATGGCTGATTTGGAGTCTTTTTTCTTTACAGATGTCTGATGTTCCTAGATTTGCAGGTTTAGGGGGCGGCACGTTTCTCCTAAGTACATGACAACGTCTGAAGGGTCTTCTTTTTTACTTGTAGCTGGTTTACCGTTGGTACATCAGACATCCTGAGAGGATAAGTAACTCCCAAAACATTCAAAGTAAATTCAAAATCTCCATTACTTTCAGTCGTAGTATATATGTCTTTTTAAATGTATGGCTAGATGTGTCTAAATTGCAACCGGCTGAGGGGATGGTGTAAATCCAGCTTGGGGCCTATGCAGGAAGCAAATGTACTGTAAGTGGTCCATGGTCCCAAGTATGGTGATCTACCTTCAGTCGTTGGCAATCTATAGCCTGTTTTTGTACTGTCATTTATAGTTGAAATATTTTAGATTTAATTTCTAGTTATAAATATATATCTGTGATCCACTAGTAGTTTTACTGTTCTTCGTCAACAGGCTTTTAATTTCTAACAAGATTGATCTTTAATATAAGTATAGATTGCTCTCGTCACGATATTGCTGAAATATTGCCGATTTGACAATAAATATTAACTCACTCACTCACTTTTACGTTATACATTTATTGATTTGAATATTGATATCAACTGTTCTGGTCACGATATGGTTGCAATATTGCCGATGTGACGTTAAATTGTAACTCACTCACTCACTGTTGGAGACTGACTTTGGAATTCGTTTGGTTTTAATGGTGGGTTCAGGCTTATTTTCCGTCATTTTAGGCTTGTTTTGGCTGCTTCCAAACACCCAAACGTGCGCATGGATCAAGACACCCTCTACGTTTGTGCCTGATTTAATTTTCTTCTTTCGAACATTTTAATATTTGTTTACCACTTTAAGTTGATGTTTGGTAGTTTTGTTCTGAATAGATTGGATTCCGTTCAATGAGTCAGTTTAAATATGATCAGACAGACATTTGCAATTTTGAGAACAATACATTAGTGCGGGATCAAAGTAATTGCATTGCTCAGATGTATGTGAGAGAGCTCCTGATTTGCGTGTTGCAAGTTACATTTATGCAAGTTACTGACACGTAAAAAATTACGTTCCCAATACAGCAATTTGTTCTGCAACTATTAATAGCATTTTGAGCTACATTGAATTTGCAATTATCGGGAGAAGATGCCATCATCACGAGATAACACCACTGTACATACACCCCAACAAAGGAGCAGCAGCGAGAAACAAAAAACATCCGGATCTCCGTTGGATTCAGTGCCTCCGAAGTCGTCTAAACCATTGGTACAATCAACATAA